GGGTTAAGACTGACCTCTAGGTGGAGTGCCTACACAAACAGACATAACATAAAATGAGCAAAGCTCTGTGAATAACAATATGTAAACAATTAAACAATTAACTTGAATTACAATGTACATATATAAGAGTAGAGGACATATAGTTAACTTTACCCTGTAATTATTTTCAGAATGGCCTTAGGCCTAAACTTAAATAGAATGGCTTTAAGCTCTTGAACAGAGTGGCATTAAGCCCTTAAACAGAATGGCAATCAGCCCTTAAACATATCGGCATTAAACCATTTTCATGCATGTATGAACTCAAGAGGTGGCTTGCACGGATTCTAGAGGTGACTCGCATGGCAGCACTTAGTTTCCGTGCAGCACTTTGTTTCATACTAACAGATCATACATAATGGCCATAAGCCCAGATGTCACAGATTGGCCATAGGCCTCACATATGTCACAGAACGACCATAAGCCTCATAATCTTCACAAAAACAGCCATAGGCCTCAGTTCACATATGTATGGACTTAAGAGGTGGCTTGTACGGATTCTAGAGGTGGCTCGCATTGCAGCATTTAGTTCCATACAGCACTTTGTTCCATACCAGAAATCATTAGGTCTTAAAGACCGGACCATCCATATCATGTCAGAGCATAGCATAACTGGAACAGATAAACAGAACAAATTCATACATATTCTTAATTATGCTTAAATCATAAACAGAAATCAGAGTTCATACTTGATTATACTTGGTACTTCCAATAGCGCTAACAAATCAATATAGGGCATACTTGTTAGTTTCATAACGGAACCTCCGATACCGGGAACTTATAACATACTTGAACCACGATATTATTACCTCCGGGTAAGGGCCATAAGACCACGGTATTATTACCCTCGGGTAAGGGCCTTGTGCTAAGGATGCCATGAATACTTATATATATATATATATATGGACAATCATTCATTAATTCAAAACGTAAATATCAGAAAATAGAACATTTCTTGCCATATCATGTCATTGCAGTACGCTTAACAAAGACAGAACAATTTACATTCTAACGTGGGTTACATAATGATGTTAAACCTTTGCATTCATGTCGTAGATTCTAAATGACCTCGGGTCCATACGTAACACAACAAAATAATCTTGGATTCATACAGATACCATTGTTCAAGGATGAACATAAGTTCCATTTATTCTTTAAGAAGTAACGTAGTATGTTGATAAATAATAGAGGGTTAATATTTGTTATTGACAAAACAAAAGGATTCCAAAGTCATACTGATGTGCGCAAATCTTTCAATGTTCATATAAGTTCACATTGATTTCCAATCGTCATAAATGTTTGTGTAACACTTACGAAGAACAGAGTGTTAGTGACAATAATTATCAACAGTAAATAAAATATACATTTCTGTACTGCTACTCACAGTGCTTTAACGGAGTGCTTGCCCCTCCCGGGTTATGACCTACACATATGCACAACTTATTAATTAGTTCTTTTTCTTTCTTGATTCATTTCCTGCTTCATTTTACTTCAAACGAATCTATAGGCATTGTAGGGACATCAAATATAGATTTCAAAAATACCAGAGGGTTAAGCACACAAAACAGAGTGAACAAAATTTTACAGCGTGGGCCGCACGTGCGGCTGTGAGCCCCACACGTGCGGTAAGGCTTCTCGCACGTGTGGCAGTGATCCCCGCACGTGCGGCGATTCTGGGCAGTGCAGTTTGAAATTTCCAAACAAAACCTCATTTTTGGTAAGCTTGTATAAGGCTCACAATAGGTCCTTTAATTGATGAAGTATGGTTCAAAAACATGTACATAGACATTACAACATATATCAATTTCAATATAACTTGGATCTTAGATCTTTAAAACTTATAAACATAACCCAATTCCCTTAAACATACAAACAAGACATAGGTATAAACATGCAAGTTCAACCTGAAAATCCAAGAAATAATTTACCATGCCTCTTTATTACTCAATTTACCTTCAAAACAACTAAATATCAAGAATACTTCTCAAGAGGACAATATTCACACACTTGATGGAAATAACAACTCCATAAAAATAAGAGAAATTTAAAAAGTGGTTAAAAAGAAGGTGATTCATGTCTACCTTGTCTCAAATCTTTATAATTTCTCTCAATTCCTACTCTTCTCCCTTGAAAAACTTCTTCCCCCTTAGTTCTTCCTCTCAAACTCCTCTCTTTTCTCTCTCTCAGGATATTTTCTTGTATACAACTCTAAGTCAAATATTTAAAAAGGCACCTTTACATATATACATAATAAAAAAAAGTTGACTAAGATAAACTCAATCAGTTTAATCATCCCAAATCAAATTTTTATAAAAATACTTATTAGTACTTAAAAATGCTGCTGACTCAAATGTAAAATCAATTTCAAATTATCAAGTCTCTAAGGCTCTTAATTTCTGCTCCAAACACTGTACTTGTGACAGATATTTTTCTTATTAAACAGATATGCATCCGTAATCATAGGATTCACTTAATTAAATTTAATTTCACAGTAAGCATTTAAATGCTCAGAATAAGGAACTGACAATATACCAGAAACAGATACGAGGGTCGGGTTATTACATCATTTATAATACATTTTTTTTCTTTTTCTTTTATTTTTTTTCTCCTTATTTTTTTTCTTTTTTTTTCTTCTTCTTTTCTTTCTTTGTTAATTTTGTTAATTTCACAGTAAGCATTTAAATGCTCAGAATAAGGAACTGACAATATACCAGAAACAGATACGAGGGTCGGGTTATTACATCATTTATAATACATTTTTTTTTCTTTTTCTTTTATTTTTTTTCCCCTTATTTTTTTTCTTTTTTTTTTCTTCTTCTTGTCTTTCTTTGTTAATTTTGTTTAATTTATTAATTCATTAAAATTAATACTATATATTCATTTTAATTATTTATATATGTATTTCTTTTCTTTATGATTATTATTAAGGGAGATTTACCAATAAATTCTAAATGTTAAACTTATGAATCAATTGGTCCCAATTTTTTTCTAATAAACCATTTAGTTCTTGGATATTTTGAGGGACCTTAATGCCCTCATTTAGATGTTATTAGATGCATGCTCTTTATGAGGGTGTGTCATGTACCACACACAATATGTCACGTGACACACACAATGGGTGCCACACATCAACAAAGTACACCAAGGTTCTTTATGAGGGTGTGTCACGTGACACACAATATGTCATGTGACAAGCACAGTGGATGTCACATATCAACAAAGTACACGCGACACACACAATGGGTGTCACATATCAACAAAGTACACGTGACACACACAATGGGTGTCACACATCAACAAAGTACACTAAGGCTCTTTATGCTTTTTGCCTTGGAGTGTCACGTGACACACACAATGGGTGTCACACATCAACAAAGTACACTAAGGCTCTTTATATTTTTTGTCTTGGAGTGTCATGTGACACACACAATATGTCACGTGTGTCACATGACACACACAATGGGTGTCACACATCAACAAAGTACACGAAGGGTCTTTATACTTTTTACCTTGGAGTGTCACGTGACACACACAATGGGTGTCACACATCAACAAAAAACACTAAGGGTCTTTATGTTTTTTGCCTTTGAATGATGTATGTCACGTGACACACACAATGGGTGCCACACATCAACATAGTACACTAAGGCTCTTTATGCTTTTTGCCTTGGAATGATGTATGCCACGCGACACACACACAGAAGGGTATAATTGACCACTCAATGTTACTAAACAAAGGAAATAGGATCAACTGGTAAGATGTTTCCCCACTAATAGGACTAATCAGAACAATAGAAATAACCTTAGGACCAATCGGTAAAACTGTTTGTGAGATAGGATTTATTGGTAAATATCCTAATTATTAATTGTGATTTTTGTTCATCAATTAGTATAAAATTATTTCATTAATGAAAGTTAATATAATTAGTATCAATTAATATAAAAATTGTTATTATATATATATATTATATTAATGTTGGGTATAAGTTGGAGATGGAGCGCCGTCGCCGTCGATGGCCAGCCACCATCGAAACAACGCCAGAGATGTGCGAGCCGTCAATCATCATCGTCACCGTTCTATCAAAACCCTAGCCTCTTTCTCCTTCTCTTTCTCTTTCCCCCGAAACCCTAGACCTTACAGTCTACCAAAACCCTAGCCTGGTTGTCCGACCAGATTGCGAAGACAGAAAGAGAGAGCTCTGGTTTGTTAATGCAATAGCAGTGGTTCTTTGGCCAGATCGCAACGCTAGGTGATGAGAGCGTTTGCCTCTTAACGTGATGGCGATAGAAGGGTTTTTCCCCTTCGGTTAGGGTTTTAGATCTTGATGAGAGAGTTTTAGTTTGAGAGAGAGAGAGAGTAAAGAGAGAGAACTTGGTTTCCCTCCGCCGAAAATCGCTCTCTCCGAAAATCGCCCCCTCTCTCTCTCTTTCAAGCGAATAAATAAACAGTGTTTTGAGAAATAAGATTTATATAATTAGGTTTTTGGTAATAGTTGAAATTGACGAGGGTATTTAAGTAATTTTATATGCCCTTCCCAACAACTTTTGATTCTAACCAGTTTTCTTTAAGGAAAAAAAATTACAGAATCAAAAGTTAATAAACAAAAGTTTAAACAAACAGTTTAAAATAATTTTTTAAAAACAAAAATTTAAAATCTTAGGCCCCGTTTGGGGACTTACCTTTTTAGCCAAAAAGTTAAAAAGTTATCCTTTTAGTTAAAAAGCCAACAACTCATACCAAAAAGTCAAAGATTCTCTTTTCTCTCTACTTTTTGCACATCTTTTCGTAATTAGTCAAAAAATCATTCTAAACATATAAGATTTTTTTACCTACTTTTTTAATTAAATAGTCAAAAAATTACTAAATTAACATGTTGCCAAACGAGGGCTTAGTATCTAAAATCCACACGAGACACCCCCGATATACTCGCGCGCGCACCACAATAATCCCTCACCCAACCAGGAGTTTCCTAGTGCTGTTCACTTTTCTTTTTCCGTTTTTGGTAACTTGACCGATTATTTCATCTAAGGAGACCACACTATGAGCCTTCACAAAGTCTATCACCGTTTCTCTCTCTTTTCTCTCACTCCACCTCTCCTCTCTCCCATCTCGCTCATCCCCTTCTCTTCGGCTCCCTCCTCCTTTCTCTCTCCCAAGCCCACTCGATCTTTGACTCCCAGACATTCAACTCCAACCACCACTCTCAAGTCCATCAAGGCCATGACTACAACAACATCCTCTAGATTTCACAATCTTGTCCCTATCAACGCCGCCGAAGACGGTGCCTCCGCTGGTGGCGATAACGGTTCCGTCTCTTCCTCCTCCTCCGCCGCTGCTACTACTACTACTGTTGATGACGAAGGTACTGTATACACATCTCTGCGTTTTTGTGTGTGTGTGTGTGGTGATTATGACATTGAATTTGGATTGATAATGAATTTTTTTAGCTAATTGGTAAATTCATTGTAGTCAAATGAAATTGACCAGAAATTGTAGTTGTAAGAGCAATTTTAGGGCTTTATTGATATACCTCTTGCTTGTGTATAGATTTTTAAGAGAACAGCAAGCTGTGAATCTTCATCATCTGTGACATTAGAATCTCAATTGGATTATACGGAGGATCATTTGTTTAGAAGTTTTTTTTTTGTTTTTTGGTTATATTTTTTAATTGACTAACATATGTGTTTAAACTTGCATTGCATTGATGTAGATTCAGCATTGGGTGGTGGATATCGTGTTCCTCCGCCAAAGATTAGAGATATTGTTGATGCTCCACCACTTCCAGCATTGTCGTTCTCACCACAAAGGGATAAAATACTGTTTCTTAAGCGGAGATCTTTACCTCCATTGTCTGAGTTGGCAAGACCAGAGGAGAAGCTAGCTGGTGTTCGAATTGATGGAAAGTGTAATGCCCGAAGTCGGATGTGAGTAAAGATAAAGTTTTTCTTTTATACTTATGAAGTATGGATGTTTTGTTGAAGTACCGCAGGCCACTTTTTGTGGATAGAGTATTAAGGCCTCATTTGGGAACCAGCCCATTTAGCTAAAAAGTCAAAAAGTTACTAAAAAAGTCAAAAAGCCAACAATCCATACCAAAAAAGTCAAAGATTCTATGTCGCATGTGAGTAAAGATAAAGTTTTTCTTTTATACTTATGAAGTATGGATGTTTTGTTGAAGTACCGCAGGCCACTTTTTGTGGATAGAGTATTAAGGCCTCATTTGGGAACCAGCCCATTTAGCTAAAAAGTCAAAAAGTTACTAAAAAAGTCAAAAAACCAACAATCCATACCAAAAAAGTCAAAGATTCTCTTTTCTCTCTACTTTTTGCACATCTTTTCGTAAAAAGCTAAAAAGTCATCCCAAACATACTAGTTTTTTTTAGCTCATAGTTTAGCCAAATAGCCAAAAAATTACTAATTAGCTTGTTCCCAAACGAGGCCTAAATCCCACAATCGCGTGATTGTCTGATTTTTCTTAGCCTTTTGAATATTTGTCGTGTCCTCTACCCGTTTTACCTCCCACTTAAAATCAACTAGTGTGAAGATATATGTTTAATTTCCAATTAAAGTTCTCTAGTGTTGAAGATACGTATCAACTGAAATAGGGCTTTAATTGCCACTTTTGTGATGGTTTTTAGATATTGCTCGTGAAATTTGGTGTTATTTAATATTTGTGTATGTATCATTTGCGAGGCTACAGTGGATTTAGATAATGTTAGTATATTATAATTGACCTGTATGTTTTTATTATCATTGCTTCACATTTTCTTTTTTTTTCAGTTATATTAAATCTAAGGTTAAGGTGCCATGTGAGAGAATGTTTTGAATATTTGTTTTCAGGTCATTTTACACTGGTATTGGGATCCACCAATTACTGAATGATGGTACACTAGGCCCAGAGATAGAGGTCCATGGTCTTCCAGATGGTGCTAAAATCAATTTTGTTACCTGGTAATTCCCCGCATAACTCTTTCTTTGAATACTTTGCAAGTTCTTTTGATAACATTCGCTTAACTTATCACAATATTTAGCAAAAGTTATCTGTATGTACTTTATTGGTTATTGCAAAGTGAAACAAGTAAACAAAAGTTAGATATTACTGATATATCACCCTTGTCTAGCTTTTTTTTCTTTACTTTTCAAATGAAACGTTGAATAATATGTTGCAGTATAAGAATGCCTCAGTCTAGTTTTGAAAATAGTTTTGAAATTTAAATCTGGAATCAAGCTTATTGTGATAAGTGGCTTTCTTTTTTATGAAAGTATTGCTTTAATGTGTGTAAGCAACTTCTATATATCATCATCTATTGTTTGGAGGTCTCATCATGATTTTTGCTATAATACAATTATTCCTGGTTAATGCACCTTTCTCCATGTCACCTGTTATATATGTATTTTTCTTTCCTTATCACTCCTACTAAGATTAAGGTTCCCTTTCCTTTGACTTCATTGGGTGTACTGTTGATATGCAATTATTCATTGTTACAAACATGGCTCCTCTATTCTGTATTTTCTCAGCAACCTACCACACTGGCGTAGCATATTTTGCTGTAAATTGATACTATTCTTGAGCTCATCTATCTATCTTTTGTTTTTCCTTCAACTAGGTCAAATGATGGGCAGCATTTAGCCTTTGGTGTCCGAGTTGATGAGGTAATGTAATCCACTAATTGACAATTGATGGTGATGTAAATATAACTGTTGTTGTGTTACGTATATATTCACATTCATGACAAGTTGGTCAGAGAGTTGTCTCGAGGTTCTCTGCTTCGCTCATCTGTCTACTATATATTCTTATATTCTTGACATAATTAACATTCATTTTTTCCCTAAAATATTTATTTTGTCAACATCTTCTAAAGTTTGCTTGACGGATATTATTTATATATATATATATATAAGAATGTAAATGGTTAATAGTTAGACCTTGCTGACTAACCACAGTGGCATCCTCTGCTGAAGTGTTAAAGTTTTTACATTTCGTTAGGTGTTTTTGGCTTTCATATGCAAAAAATAGACGCAATTGGACTATCATAACCATCTATGACTGTTTGGTTGGTTGTAATTTATGCTGAGTTCAGCTTACATACTCTGCTAGCCAATCTTTTCAATTTTCTAATTTGTTCTAAAATTTTTGAAATTTTTCATGAAGCAGGACAACAGTAGCAGTAAGCTTAGAGTATGGGTTGCTGACGTAGAGACCGGAAAATCTAGGCCTGTGTTTCAGTCACCGGATATCTATCTAAATGCAGTTTTTGACAAGTGCGTGCCATTTTTTCATAACAATGTTATCATGAGGAACATTTTGCTACTTTGTGTTGCTAATGCCTTTTCTACCTCTTGCTTTCCAGTTTTGTCTGGGTGGATAATGTGAGTTTATTAGTTTGCACAATTCCCTTATCTCGTGGAGACCCACCTAAGAAACCTTTGGTTCCGTCTGGTCCCAAAATTCAGTCTAATGAGCAGAAAAACATTGTTCAAGTCAGAACCTTCCAAGATCTGCTCAAGGATGAGTATGATGAAGATCTTTTCGAGTACTATGCTACTACACAGCTTGTTTTGGTTTCTTTGGATGGGACAGTGAAGCCCATTGGTCCACCAGCCATATATACATCAATGGACCCCTCTCCGGATCAAAAATATCTTTTAATCACTTCGATTCACCGGCCATACTCCTTTATTGTGCCGTGTGGAAGGTTTCCCAAGAAAGTTGATGTGTGGACAACAGATGGAAAATTTATTAGGGAACTTTGCGATTTGCCCCTTGCTGAGGACATTCCCATTGCATTCAATAGTGTAAGAAAAGGGATACGCTCAATCAACTGGAGAGCAGACAAGCCTTCAACACTCTATTGGTATACATCTGAAACCTTCATATTCCCTTACTGAAAGATGACTTTTAACTGATTTAGCTGGGCCTAAATTAAATTTTGGATGTCTTCATTAATAAAAGATTTAAAAATTTGGTTTGGAAATTTAATTACCGTCTCTGTCTTGCTTGCTCTCCCACTGTGTAGATGAGTGAAAGTCGCCTATGAAACTTGGCACTATTGGAGCATGATTCATAAATTCCAATATAATCTTTTAAAATGACAGCACGTGTCCATAAGTTGATAGAAACAGTCTGTTTCTTGAGACAGCTTTTAAAAATAAGGGATAGGCACATTTGTTTATAATTGTCTTGAGATTGCAAAGAATTATGTATGAGGGAGAGAAAAGTCGAAACAGAGGTAGAGGTTAAAGTAGACAATTACTGAGCACATACTGGTTTCATCAGGTTTTTTTTTTTTTTTTTTTTTTTTTTTTATTAAAAAAAAAAATTTTAAAAAAAATAAAAAAAAAAAAAAAAAAAAAACAAAGAGGCAGAACTGCACACCAAACTCATTTTATTCATGTCGGGGCTCCCCCCGGTCACCATTTTACACCAAAAAAAAAAAAAAAAAAAAAAAAAAAAAAAAAAAAAAAAAAAAAACAAAAACCC